GTTTATTGGACCAATCAGATAAGAGTAAATTGAGTCAGCGAGAGGCTCATTTGATTGGCTACAAGAAGAAGGAGGACCCGCCCTCCCCCTCACGCTTGCAAAACTCAGTTAGTGAGAGTATCATGCCAAAACTGTAAGCGCAGAGAAGAGAAAGACGCTGTACATATCAGTTTATTTCGGGAACTTTTTGCCCCACATGCACAAGTCATTTAGACATTTGCAACAGTTAGTTTTTTTACACATACAGATTGGTTCTATGCAGTCAATCCGTTTTGCAGTTATTTATTAAACATTTTTTTCGCTTAAAAATCACTGTTCACAGGCTTGCAGTACTTTTGACCGTATTTTAGTGAAAACAATGTGCCAAAAGTGTAAGCGCGGAAAAATGGAAGTCAGAAGAATGCAGATCATATTTATTTTGCGTTAGCATTAAGCTGCAGTTTCACAATACATGAATTACACTTACGAGTAACAGTAAAATGCTGCAAATCATTTTTTCTTACGCTTGAAACACGATTTACACCTTTACAAAGCTTCTCTTGCGCATGCAAATTCAATTTACGCTTACAGTCTTATGTACACTTCTACAACTCTTACCCTGCGTATGCAAATCTTTTAGGCATTATTTTACCTTCATACACTTCCAGTTGCCGTGAGATCCTCTCCCACGTTGGATACTTTTAAATCTAGATTGAAGACTGTAGCGTCTGGACCAATCAGACACACAATTTTTCATTTGATTTAACAAATCAATTATTCATTAGATTAACAAACGTTCATGATGACCTCAGCAGGGATGCCGGCCTCCGTCAGACGAGCACAAAACACCTGGACACACACACACACACACACAATGATACAGGGGTTACTGTTAATCTATAGCTCAGGATAGAGACAATCAAATTACGTAACTTGTTCAAAGTTTAGTAACAGTTTGGTCTAATTCAAACGCTTCAGAAAACAGTTTTTTTGGAGCTTCGTGGTTTTGGTCACCATTCACTTGCACTATATGGATCTGTGGAGCTGAAACATTTTCTGAAACTCTGCCACCGGAGAATCGTTTGTTCCTTTTAGGAGCACTTTTTGCGCTCTCTCGTTTCATACAAACGCACCTCAGTTTTCGACTGTATTTACTGTAAAATGAAACCAGACGACTTCAGTATTAATAGCAGGTCTGTGGTAATGTTGTTGACGTGTTTGCCTGCTAGAACAATTGTTTTATACACCGAAATGGATTAATACATAATAAATAGGTAAGATTTTGAAAAGCTTTTTTTGAAATCAATATTTCATGTCCATGTAATTAATAATAACAGTGATTAAGTGGCATGACTGTACATTTTCCCTTAAATGCATATAGTTTGAACTTGTTCATTCGTCTGGGCTCAAAGCCGTTTGTTAGGAATGTTTTTCTTCACGAAAGCTTTGCATTTAAGGAGCTAATAAATTTCCACTCAAATCAATATTTTGTGTCCAATTACTGACTTATGTAGCGAGTAGCTGTGTAATAAGTGGTATAACGTTATACAAGACCCCTGCGTTTCACATCCACATCCTGATATTTTCAATAACAACCGGCTCTTTTACTTGTTATTTAGCTGGAAGAAGGTTTGCTTACAGTTGATTTCTTCTATATTTTATATAATAATCTAAATAATTAAATAGCATTTTAATTTATAATTAAATCAGTTGATTAAATAAGATGAATAAATCAAATAAAAGTAAATAATCACAGTAATTCCTTCTCATCAGGCCTTTTTTAGATGAGAAGGACGCTGGCCTTGCTGCATCAATCACCACTTTCATTTACAGGTCAAATGGAGTCAAATGAAAAAGATGAGAACAAGAAAAGCACAAAAGCAGCAAGCGTTTCTCAATGTTTTATGGAGACACATGACAGTGTGGTCTGAAAGCTTGTTGTGGGTTTATTCTGCCCCATGGAATCAGTTTGACACAAGATAAAAAATCCTTGATTGTAGAGGAAATAAACTAAGAGGAAGTGTCAGAAACAGGAAGCTGTGTGAACACAAAACACCTCATTTCAATGTAAATAAGGAGAAACTCTGAATACTCAAATGCAGCATGCGGACGAAAGGGGAAACGGAGGACTAGTGATCTGTGCTGGTGTGCGTGTTACCTGGTCCAGCAGGTTGAGTCTTTTCACATACGCTTCTTCTGTCTGGAGCAACTCTTTAGCGATGTTCAACAGCTTCTGTGACTGAGAGACAGAGAGAGCAAGACAGGAAGGCACATTGGTTTCAGGCAAACTAAAAAAAGACAAAAACCTGTGTTTAAAAATGCCACATGCCTGGTAACAAACTTCCTTCAAATGACAAAACCAACCAGTGTTTTACCACTTACACAGTCACACGATGACTAACAGGAAAGAAAATGTCGTTCTTCAGCAGTGTTGGGCTATTTAGTCAAAAAATCTAATATATTACTCATTGCTAAAGTAATATTATTACTTTCTGGCAACATGACTTTTCTTTCACGCCCCACATAAGTTGCATATCCTCCCCATAAAATTCCTCTACAATGTTACTAACAACATATTTCTGCCTCATCATTTGACCAAAATCCACATTGGATCGCAGTCAGAAGTTATTACGAACATGATTAATAGTAATGTTTAAGTAAAAGTGTTGTATTAATCTCATTCATTGTCATGTGTAGCTTGAAGCTAATTGTAGCTATAATTTCTCTGTTACCCATATACGATTATATTCCATGATGTATTTTATCAAAAGAAATCATATAAGTTCATAAGAAAATGCTTCATTCTCTAAAAAGACAGGGCAAGCCATGTATTACCAGAGCAAAATAATGCCACAACTTACACATCAGTGTTCAGATCATCTTTTCTCCTCACAAAGTCAATGCAACAGCAATATTTCTATTTGCTGAATGTAAGCTTTTTCATATTCCATATGTCTGCTGCACTGGTGACTTAATGTCCCTGTGCAAGTTGTGCAAATTATGAAAATAAATCTAGCAATTATTGGATTGTTGGACTTTAAACCAGTATGACTGAGGCATCGAAAGTAACTAACAAGCTGTTTTATGGATAGTAACTGTAATATTATTATTAGGCCTGTCGCAATAATCAATATATCGACTTATTGCACAATACATTTACGTGACCTCAATAATTTTTGGTGACGCAATATATCACCCATTATATTTACATAAAAATTAATGTCACCGTGTTTTTTAGTTGGAAGTGTGTAGGCCTTCTTGCATTATTATGCTGCTATGTTATGATTATATATTCAGTGGCATAAAATGATCTTTAACATGACAATAATATCGCTTATCGCAATTACTTATGGGGCTATATATCGCACAACAAAAAGTTATTATGGTGACAGGCCTATTATTACTGAAATCTTGTTAGTAATTAGTTACTGCAAAAAGTAATATTATTACTCTAACTAGTTACTAGTAACAAGCTACTGCCCAACACTGCCCATCAGTGGGCAAATGTGAAAGTGTCTTTATTAAAATGTTTCTGCTGTGTCAGCACACACACACACACACACACACACACACACACACATACACACACACACACACACACACACACACACTCATACACACACACACACACACACACACACACTGAAGAAACGCACCATGCAGATACGCCTGACAACACAACAACATCCACTGTCTTCACTGACACACACATAAACACACTCCTGCAATCAAAAGCAGGAAACTGTCTTTACATTGTCAATCAAGCAGTGAATGCACTAAAGCCTCTAGCAGAACAACACCGCTTTATCAAACACTGCTGATTAACACAAAAATACTTTTTATTTGAGAAAACAAACCAAATACGTGTCTCCAGTAATGCAGATACAATGGAAGTGATGGTTCAGATGGTGCATTTGAAATTGTTATGGTATATGGATGATTCTAATCTGTTTAGGTCATATTTTACTTCCAAAACAAAGAGAAAAAATGTACTGTGCATGAATAAAATAAAGCCTATTATTATGATTCATTCTTTTCCCCATTTTTCCCAATCTCTCATTCTCATACTGTGATTTAAGAACATACAGTAAAATAATACAATTGTAAATAGTACTGCTTTTAATTCAGGCTTTTATTGAAAACAAACCCATTGCATTTTATAAAAATGACTACTGAATGAGAATGACAATCATCAGGGAGAAAACCATCTTAAATGGTCTTTTGATTGTGCAATTAAATTTTTTTTAATATTCAAGCATATGTTCTGTCAGACCAAATAAATAAGTTCAACCGTGCAAAAATGTGGAAAATTAGATCAATTAGTTTAAAGAAATCTAAACGACATTTTTCACATCTTGTTCTTTGCCTCAGTTAATGTTGGGCAGCCATGATAGATGCATCTATCGCTCACATGCACACACACAACAGCAGCTCATCCCACATCCTGTGTGACAGCATGCTATTAAACACACACACACACACACACACACACACACACCTTTCCTACAGCAGATGTGCTGCTCACTCCAGGAAACACAGGAAAGACCAGAGCTGTGTGTGGATCTGAGCACAAAGCGTGAAGTATCCAGAGGTATCAGGGCGTGTGTTTGGTGAATGCGTGTGCTCTTATTATGGGCGACTCCTGCTGCGTGGACACAAAGCTCTGTTCCTGTCACACCTTACCGGCACAAAAACACTCCTGCAGTCTCTCTGGGGCCTGACTAACTGCTGACTCGCACCTATACACTCTGCAGGTCTGGGCCCGTATTCACAAATCATCTTCAGGCTAAAAGTAGCTCATAACTCGCCGATTTAGGAGAAAATCTTAAAAATAATGGGCGTGTCAGTCCTAAATTCAGGACTCCTAAATGTTTGCTCAGAGTATTTCACAAAGCGTTTTAGCTCTAAAACTAGCTCCTAAATCTGTGAAAGGTTAGGAGCAGTGAAGAGGACTCCTAAGTCACTAAGACCACGCCACAAACTATCCTAAAATAGCTGTTGCTGGCAATCTGTCTCTGAACGCAAACATTTGAGAAACATTTGATGATAACGAGCTTTTAAAAAGGTATCACCTTTGGTTTTGGAGGTTACCCCAACTCCAGATTTTCCTTTGATTATATCCTCGTTATCATTAAGCAGCTGGGCGAGAAGTAACAGCTCTTCTTGAGTCCAGTTTGGTTTTCTTTTACGTTTGCATGTCTTACTATCAGCCATGATTATTCTACTCTGTTAATTAAAAGGCTGTTTATATGCATATTCACTAATTATGAGAAGCATACATGTAAGAGGCTGACAATTAGCTAGACATATACTTGTTTAAATTAGTGACACTTAGCCTGCATTTTAAAATCTTTATGTGATTGTGAATGTGGCAAAATTTTTATTTTTGAACCTTTATTTGAATATGGCAACATAATATTGCGCTCTACAATATTTCTATGAATAAATCTCTGCCAGAGACTGTCAGCCAATCACTGTGTGCATAGTTAATAAGCACACTGACATCATCCACAGCAACTAGGTCAGCCGCTGTATGTGTGTGTGTGTGTGTGTGTGTGTGTGTGAATGTATTAGTGGATCCTGTCATTCATCATGAAGCAGCAGTAATGGTTTGGGAAGCAGGGGAACCTGTCGAGCGAGTGCAGAGCCGCACCCTCAGCTGCACGCTCTCAGACATTAATGAACTTCATCAAATTAAGGAAAACTTAAGGAAGAAATTAAGGAAGGACCCCCATTGGTTTCCATGCAATTTATAAAAAATGTACACGGTTACACTTTATTTTAAGGTGTCCTTGTTACAGTGTAATTATACATTTAAGTACTGAGTAATATTAATTTACTACATGTACTTACTATATGGTTAGGGTTGGGATTAGGGTTTGGTTTAGGGTTACTTGCATGTAATTATGTATA